CGGGCTCCGTGAGGAGGAACACAAAAAAAGTTTTCTTCATTTTTTAATTACCGAACGAAATCCTTATTTATCCTTATCCTTACTAATATTATAAATCGGAAAGTGAGTTTGTTTGTTTGTTTGTTTGTTCCGACTTCACGCCGTAACTACTAAACCGATTGCATTGAATTTTTGCAGACGTAAAGTTAGTAGTCTGGATTAAATAAGAGGGTACTTTTTATCCCGAAAAATTTGATATTCCCGAGGGAAAACAAAAGTATTGGTAAAGATGGTGCTGTATGCATTGGTATTATGTCACATAGGCTACTTTTTATACTTTTGTGACGCGAGCGAAGCCGCGGGTAAAAGCTAGTGTTACATAAAACGAAGCCATCTGGTGGCGAAACGGACTTCGCCGGGTTTGCTATGTACTGTACTTTAACTTTTTACACCTTTGACGATATTGCAAGGTGTAATATTATAGGTAATATTATAATTTGATATGATAAAGCTGGATCCTTGGAAATATCGACGTTATCAATAGTAACGTAAATATGTAAATAGAAGTGAGTCGCTAAATGTGTTGCTAAGCGCAAAACTCAAGAATTTCGATGTAGGACTAAAGGAACCAGTAATAATTCTTAAATAATAATTTTATTAGTAAAATAGAGTACTAGACAAGCCGGTCTCCATTTTGGAATACCTAACTTCACCTAGCTTTATGACTTTGCAGGGAAAAATAATTAAAATGACTAATGTCATACAAATAATATTCGGGGTTGATCAAAGTGCAATGAATGATTTAGATAATGACCAGTTCTTCAAATAATGATGTAATTCGACAAGCAACGAGATTAAAACAATAATTATGTGCATAATATCGTAACTAGGTTCCCGGGTTTCAGGGTCAAGTAAACTGTTATTTGTGTTTTGAAATTTCTTCAGGAAATGTAGTTCAGGCAACCACTGAAAGATTCCATGCTACTGTTACTTATAACTTCTTAATTTCTTATATACCGGCCTTTATTTCTCAACGTTTCCTTTATGATGTAGCAGCCTCTCGATCCGTAGCATATTTCGTAGTAATTTCGTAGCATGCGTAGATAAGTTGGCGTAGCAAGTTAATACAACGTATTTTAAATGAATTCACGAAAAAACATTATTACTATAAATAGCATAAGATAAGATGACTTCACGCCTATTATCCCCGAAGGGGTAGGCAGAGGTGCACATAGAGGTGAACACCCACTTTTCACTATTTATGTTATGAGTCCCATGTAATAGGGGGTGAGCCTATTGCCATATACCGGGCACATTACAAGACTCCATGCTAAAACTGAGATTAAAAAAACCACTAATACTTTGCCTGACCCGGGAATCGAATCCGAGACCCCTTGCTCGGCAGTCGCACTTGCAACCACTCGGCCAACGAGGCAGTCACGACAACTATAAGTAGTTGGCAAAATCCTTATTTAATAAGATTGATATCTACTGCTATTGAACAATCTATTAATAATCTACTAGCTACAAAGAATCGTAGTAATTGGCGTTCCATAGTCTCTGCCTACCCTATGGGAGACAGGCGTGAAGTTATGTATGTATGTATGTATTAGGTACAAAGACTTCATGTTTTATATAATACTTTATATAGACTTTTATATAATAATATACTCCATCCAATTTTATGAAATGCATGCATGAAGTAAGTACTTAAGTAGGGTGTTCCTTGTCTATGGTCCACAGATAATGTTAGATATTAAGTATTCTATAATTTCAGTAAAGAATAAGTCTGTGGACCATGGACAAGACTTCACTTCATTTTATATTTTTAGCTTTTATTTAATGTAATTTTATTTTTGGTTATGTTATGTGTGTTTTGCGCAAAATTAAATGGTTTTTCTTTCTTTCTTTCTTCTTTCTATGTTTAAAACATCAACATATCTGGCGTGTAAACCAAAAGTTCCACAATTAAAACCAATTAGGTATTGAATTATTCTGTAAATTGAATGAAACAGAAACCATTGAGTATTAAAGTATTAAGTATCAATGATTGATGAATAATAATTTTTGGCGAATGAATAACGTTATAATCTTTATTAACCGATTGATATCGAACGATGTCATTGATTACTTGTAATCGGAGTGGCGTGTATGATTGTTTATACGTATCTATGAATGTATGTATAGTTACCGTGTACAGTCGACAATGAAAACGGAAAAACAATTTAATGAGTCATAAAATAAATCACTATCATCATAACATCACACCTTTTATACTCGAAGGGGTAGGCAGAGGTGCACATTATACCACTGTACAATGTAACACCCACTTTTCACTATTTATGTTATGAGTCCCATGTAATAGGGGTGAGCTTATTGCCATATACCGGGCACAATTCCAGACTCCATGCAACTATTGAGATTTTTTTAAAATCCCAGTAATACGTTGCCCGACCCGGGAATCGAACCCTATACCCCTTATAAAAGATATTTTATATTATATATATAATTCTCGTGAAACGAATTAACTTAATTATGTCTGTCGCATTATTCTGCTGATGAATAATGAACCCTTAGGTTACATTGCAACCTCAAACAGTTGGATAAGTGAGTAAGCCTCACAAGGTCTAAAGGGCTGCCAGCACGATTGCACGACCGAACAAAGCATCTCATCATTTATCAACAGCCTATAAATGCCCACTGCCGAGTAAGGCCTATTCTCACACGGAGAAGGTTAGAACATTAATCACCTGTCGGGCAAGGAGTCTCGGGTTCGATTCCCGGGTCGGGCAAAGTATTACTGGGTTTTTAAAAATCTTAGTAGTAGCACGAAGTCTGGAAATGTTCCCGGTATATGGCAATAGGCTCACCCCCTATTACATGGGACTCATAACATAAATATTGAAAAGTGGGTGTTACATTGTATAGTGGCATTAAGTTTCATAATGTGTACCTCTGCCTACCCCTTCAGGGATAAAAAGGCGTGATTTTATGTTATGTTATGGCTCACCAAACGATTTACGACGACGAACGAAACAGATAAATAAATAGTAACTTGTTAGGAATTTTAAAAGTAAAATATGTCTTTGGTACTAATAATGTGTTCCTAAAATACACCACTAGAGAAAACAGAATGCATTGCAAATAGCAAATTCTACATGTCGACCTCTCTCTGAGCACAACCAATGATAGGCAACGTACATAACGCTCACTGTGACACGCCCTCGAAACATGGACAGTACAATTTATCACCGACTGTACAAGCAGTTCCCTTCACATACTGGGGACATGACAGTACAATAAATAATATAATATGTTGAACATTGTCTTATCAATAGTTACAATAAAATTGATATAAACTCTCATTTCCTAGAAGTTGTTTGTATTTCAATATTTTTCTTCCATAACATTTGTTCGTTATCTCTATCCTGCATTTCACTTTTTAATGTAATGTTTTGTTTCTTGAATTTACGGCTTGTTTCACAATGTACGGTTTAACTTGCTCAGAGCCGTATTATTCCTTGGGCAAAAAGCCCACACTCCCTAGTCTTTTCCCCCCAAAAAGCTAGGCGCCTTTTGAAGGTTTCCCCCCGTCAACAAAAAAAAAAAAAGGGGCGACGGCAAACTTGTGCGGACGGCGAGCATGGATAGCTTGCCGCCTGACCAGAAACAGACCCGAGCGCGCGCCTCAAAGAGCCTTTAGACGACCACAGATAAGGCCTAATAGGGATGATGCCGATACGGAGCCGCGGAAGACTTAACGGGTTGCCGGGACTCCGGCTCGAAGTGCAGGAGTACGAACGGGGTGGTTTTCAGTCAGTAAAAGTCTGACACTCTCTCCCGCCACACCCAGGCGGCAGAAGCATTCAATGATTTTCCCCCTTAAAAAAAGGGCAAATTAAGCAAGTGCCTAGGGTGCCCACAACTCCCCATTGAGTGACAGCAGCGTCAAAAAAAGTAGGGTCTCTTACGAGGTGCTCCTACCATCTCTTTAAATTTTATCCGTCACTGATCTGACGACTTATCAAAACGGATTTAGCTCTTTAGCCCACCAATCGACACATGGAAATACTTCACAAACAATACTTAATCTCAAGCTTGATTGATCCTTACATATCTGAGAACCGCGAGCGAGATATCTGAGAATGAAATAAAAAAAATAAATTCTTTCATTAATACGTATCTAGATAACTAATCGTGCAGCTGTAAAGATTAAACGAATTATCCAAATTATTATCACCACGCCACATTGAACACCGATTTCAGTTCAAGCTACTGTTTGTTCATTAATGGTAAAATTCCATTACAATCTGTTCAGCTATTTTTGATAAATTTTTGACAAACACACCTGCATGCACTTTGATTTTACGGACAATATTGTAGGTTCGTTTATTATACCTACTACCTGATGACTGAATCACCCACTTCTGGCAAATTCATTCACTATTTAAAATGCGAAAGTTATGTGAGTTTGTGTGAATGACTGTTATTCAATCATGTCAAAACGGAAGGCTTCAGGATACAATTTGGAACCGGGAAGATTATAGTCAAGAATCCGAATAGGGCTAGTACTTAAATATGGCGCTATCTCTGTCATTTTTTAAGTATTTGTAAGGGACAAAAATATATTTGAGTGTCTTATTTAATCGAGTGGCGTTTGAGTATTTGATCATTAGGCTAATTGAGTAAATGATTAATTTAAACAACGACTCTTAGTTATAATCACTCAATATGTCAAGTAACAAACAGAAATTGGTATTATCAATAACAAATTAGCATTTGAGGTTAATCTATTGATAAACTAAGTGTTGGCTTATCATTATAAAATAAATCATTATTCAGTTTGCATCCGAACATCGGTGGAATAACAGTGCTTGTGTAATTTATTGAAATAAAGAAACAATGAACTATATAAAGTGAAAAGTTTTATCATTATTACCTTAGCAGTTTTAGGGATTTGGTAGTGAACGGAACGTGTTTTGTTTTTGACATATTGTAGTGTAGTGTTTTATTTTGTTAAAATGTTGCGCTTCGATGTCCTTCTTTATGTGGAAAAGTATGTATTTGTGTTTAAGTTATTTACTTAGAAAAATTATTTAGATAGGTAGAGCCGGATAGTATGATAAGTACTACATATAATATGGTGTTACATTGTTCTCGCACAATCGAACCAATAAAACTGTGTAACTGGAGAATTGTATTGTGAACCTGATTGGAAAAGATAATAATAATATTGGAAATTCTAAATTATAGTTAATTTAGGAGTGATGTTATATTGTGTTCTTATAATGAGGAAGCTCATAGTCTAATGAACTGTCACGATCTGTTGAGAAACTAAACTTTGAACTGTATATATTTTTTCTGTATCTACTGCTACAAAATTTAAGTAAAATGCACTTTACGTGAATGTTATATCGACTTTAATATCGTTATCAATTTGAAATACTGCACACCTGCGAAAATGTTGTTATGTTGTCAATAATACATAATGAGTGATAAGTCGATAAAAAATGCAATGAGCGTGGAAAAATATTAGGTATCGTAACGACCTTATCGATTTTCGCGGTTTTACTTATTTTAAGTCGCGGCTGACAAAAACTATTAAAGGCTATTCCTCCATTAGCGTCGGACATTTTATTTTTTTGATATTTGATGGGGCGACATTTGACCACTATCTCGTGTCGTACATCATTGCCCGACACGCCATTCAATGTGTTAATTTAACTAGAGACGGTTTTTTACGGTATTTACGGTCGGAATTTTACGGTACTTCTCTGATTTTAATTTGAAAACTGAAGCCTAGTGCTCACCACAAATTATACGCCTCCGGGTATAGCATAGCGCTCTATTTGATTACCATATATAAGACCTTTATCTGTATGCATCTATGAACAAATAAAAGTGATTTGATTTGGTTTGATTTGAGAATCGAAATGTATTTTGAAGAGCTCAGTCCAAAATACATTACTTTTTGTTATATGATTATTCGGAAAAAAAATTTTTGTTATATTATTAGACAATTTTACCTAAGCACCCATAAGTACTGGACCACTTTTAACTTTCAGTAGGTATTATGGGTTCTTACAACGAATAATATATTTTTGGTTTTTAGTTTATGGGTTTTTAGATCGATTTTTTAAACGTAGTTTTATTCTAAATATATATAATCTAAATATATACATATATAACTGTACGGTTGGCGCGGTAGTTGGGCAACTGACTGCCGCGCAACGTGTCGCGGGTTCGATTCCCGCACGGAACAACTCTGTGATTCACAGATCGTTGTTCCGGATCTGGGTGTCATGTGTATGTGAACTTGTATGTTTGTAAACGCACCCACGACACAGGATGAAATCCTAGTGTGGGGCAGGCCAACGTTTTTTTTTTTTAAAAAAAAACTAGAACATCAGAAGTATGATCAATTCTCGAACAACATCCGTTCTCTAGTTAACTCTATACTCTACTCTTAGAAGTATAGCCAACCGTATCTGTTTTAATAAAAATTACAATGTTTTAAAATGTAATTTATTTTGTTGCAGCGTGTCAGTGCCTAAAAAGATGCGCGGACGCACGCCGCGCTGGCTGTGGGTGGGGGCGGGTAGTGGTGCGTTACTTGCGCTTGCGGCGCTATCCGCTGCACTCGCCTGGACCAGCATATTCGATTCAGCACTTGCTAATGTAAGTTTCTGTATGTGTTACACAAGTTTATTCTTGCAAAATCACTTGTTTTTATATTACTTAGTTCCCAAATTGCTCATGGACCTCCGGTAACCTCACTCACACGATGAAAAACAACGCAAGCGTTATTTCACGTCGGTTTCCTATGAGGCCGTGGTATCACTCCGGTCGAGCCAGCCCATACGTGCCGAAGCATGGCTCTCCCACACTTACAAAGTCTTTTAATAACAAAGTCAAAGCATTTATTTCAAATATTCCTTAATTAGGAACTTTTGAAACGTCAAAAATTGTCCGTACGTCTATCTGTCAGTGAAGCTAGGCGCTCGTTCCAAAGTGTAGTTTCGAATGTAGAAGAACAAGCAAGAAACTTCATCGTTACTCTTTTGACTGGTAGCCGCGGAGGGCTTAACGGGTTGCCTGGGCTCCGGCTCGAAGTGCAAGAGTAGAAATGGGGTTGTTTTTAGTCAGTAAGAGTCTGCCACTCACCCGGCCGGGAGAATTCATTCGATGATTTCCCCCATCAAAAAAAAAAAAAACACTTCACACCTTTTGTTCAACAAAAAAATTGGAAATTATTTATTCATAGCCTTAGGGCTCGTACACAAAACTGCGATGCGACGTCGCATCACAAAAATGTGCGAACTCCCTTTACGCATCGCAAGAACTTGCGAATTGATTCGCATCGACAAAACCTTATCTTCCCAAAATCTTCTTTGTTTCTTTTTCCTGTATCTCCTAATCAATAACAGAAGTGTACACTTCTTTTTACGATCCATGTCGCGACCTAGTTTTCAATTTAAAATACGTTTAGTACGGTTGACGGTTGTCGAAGGAATTATTACCCTGGGAGATGGCTTGTCTCACGAAATCGCATCGCCGCAATTCGTGTTGTAATTTTTGTGCACGAGCCCTTATAGGAGACTGATCTAATATCAAATCGCCATGTATTTAAAGAATGAGAAAATTAAAAGTAAATAACAATTGCTCAGGCGACCATCACGTGTGACATTGCCATATATTAGCAAGAAACGTGCGAACCAAATATCAGCTAATGAGATTAAATTAACTGCGTGTTTCTTTAGTGAAACCCTACTCTACTAATCTCTACTAGTTAGTTAGTTACTAACTGTATGTATGTATACCTTATGTAGATGTCTACTGACCCCACCGTGTCAATGTCGCGTCGCTACGAACTCGTTGGCTATAATTATTTAAATTCAATTGTTGTAAGTCTTTAGTCAGACTTTTATTTTTTTATAGTTTGTTATCGTAGGCTATGATTTTCTCTAACCTAACTTTACACCCGGTTCTAAAGTCAAAGTCCTTTGACTTTGACTTTAATTAAACCATAAAGCATTTATTTTAATTAAACCATAATTTGGTACTTTTATAACGTCAACAAATACAAAGTAAATAGTCTGTCAGTCAATCCGTCAGTGAAGCTAGGTGCTCATTCCAAAATGTAGATTTGAATGGAGAAGAACGAGAAAGAAACTCCATTCATTACTCTATTTTTCTACAATGTCTCTGATACATATTCCAATAACATGAATAACATGTTATTGGATTACATAATAAAACTAATAGGACTGCCTCGTTGGCCGAGTGGTCGCAAGTGCGACGGCCGGGGTCTCGGGTTCGATTTCCGGGTCGGGCAAAGTATTACTGGGTTTTTAAAAATCTCAGTAGTAGCACGGAGTCTGAAAATGTGCCCGGTATATGGCAATAGGCTCACTCCCACACATGGGACTCATAACGTAAATAGTAAAAAGTGGGTGTTACATTGGATAGTGGCATTAGGTGCCGTAATGTGCACCTCTGCCTACCCTTGCGGGAATAAAAGGCGTGAAACATCACGCATTTTATTACAATGTTATGTTAAATATTATATTATTATCTTTTCACATATCAGCTGTTTGTTGAATAACAACCCTCATTATAAAATACATACACAAATATATTCAGTTTTCATTGAAAACCTTTACAACCCTTAATATATACCTATCTGTTTGGAATTTACGTAACGTACCGTGGGAGTTCTACCCACGCCTTCGTGGAATAAAGGTCGTGATGTTATGTAAGCTGAACTTGAAATGTGAATAGATAGCTGCGGAGTATTATTATGTAACTGTCCTATTGGATATTAGTTCGTAGGAGTACTGTCAAATGCAGATGTGTAGTGGGGCAATATCGACAGTAGTTGACGATGTATATTATGTGTGTCTGTGGGAGTATGTTTGTTACCCTTTCATGCAAAAACTACTGAAGAGACTGGGATGGATTTTGGAACAGAGGTAAATAGGGTATCTAGATGCCTAATTTTTATTTTAATGTCCGTCTGGTAGATTACTTTAAAACACTAGACACATATTTTTTATTTTCTTCCAGAAACAAATAGTTTCGATGATATGTTGATTTGAAATGTCGCGTGACGTCACTTCTATGTACATATGCAGAAATGTAGCGTTTACGTTTAAGCCGTTAATACGTTTTAGCCCCCACTCCTAAACTTTGATGCGTTTTATTTAAGTTCTATTTTAGTATACAACAAAAAATAAAATACGTGTCTAACATTTTTTCATTACCTAACTTATGGACTAATTAGATTTTTAATTTTCATACCCTGTCATCATCCCTATTATGGTCTAGAGTAACAACACATAGGCTACTTTTTACGCCGAGAATGCGGGCGAAGCCGCTAACAGAAGCTAAACTAAATAATAATACCAGTCATAGTGAAAAGTACATAAATATTATACTCGTCATCATCGGCCTACTCCATCAAAGCCAGTAGTAACCAAAATGTAACTTAAGTCACATACACATAAAGTAAATATTCAATTATCGATTAATTAAGCTTCCATAGCATTCTCCTTGCACAACATATTATCAGCTGTTTGTCTACTATCAATAGAATTGCCTCCGTCTGCTATCTGTGTATGAAGTCCAACGTGATACGGTACTGGTTGCTTAGCAACGGGAAGGGTTGACAACGTGCTCTCCGGCCATTTGGTGACGTAATCTATATACAGGGTGTAAACGGAACGCTCCCAAAACGCTAAGAAAAAGAAATCGTTTTTACAGTTTAAACTGTCAAACACCAAGCGATCACCGGTGACCGCAACCTATTGTTCTTTAATTGTGTCTATAAAACCGGTACTCGACGAGTTAAATCGTTTTTATTTTCGCGTTATTCATGCAACGTCAGCTTCGATCAGTTGATTACAACTATAGTTACATAATAGAAATATTTAATTCCTTACTTTTATGGAAAAAAAACTTCTTTTTTACCATGACGTGACGCCGTTTTTCGGGAGCGTTCCGTTTACACCCTGTATATAAAAAAAGAACAGGGTAACTTCGCCTGTTCGCGTCCACTCACCCTACTAAAATTCGCCAGTTCGCGTCCACTAACCAGTTCGCATCTATTTTACAGATCCTTATGAATAACATAACATCACGCCTTTTATCCCGGAAGGGTTTTTTTTTAAGTGGGGAAAATCATCGAATGACTGCTCCCGCTTGGGTGAGGCGGAAGGGAGTGTCAGACTCTTACTGACTAAAAACCACCCCGTTCCTTCTCCTGCACGTCGAGCCGGAGCCCCGGTTACGATGTTTTCCTTCACCGTTTATCAGTGGTGTCTAAATAATCTTAGAAAGTACATATAACTCGGAAAAAGTCACATTGGTACTTGCCGTTGGTAGGTTTCGAACATGCACCCTCATGCATGAAAAGCTGGTGTCTTAACCTCCGGGCCACCACGACAATTACAAACACAATACCTACCCATCATTAATCATACAAGTTCCAATTCATTCACTTACGTCAATAAATATTAACAATTTTGCATCGTCGTACAATGAATCTATTGACCATTAGGTCATAACAATATTCTTGTAATTAATAAGCTTATCCTTTAGTAATTGACAGTCAAGGAACTAGTACCTTCTTGTTTCATTATTTTCTTCAATTGATAGGTCAAAGTCTTGGAGTTTGACAAATCAATTGGATGGAATTGTGGATTGACGTCAGGTGCCTTTGCTGTCTGCTTGCAGATTAACTTGATGGTCAATTGGTTTTGACATGTCATTGAATTGAAGTTGGCCGCCGAGTGGTCGCAAGTGCGATTGCCGGGCAAGGGGTCTCGGGGTCGGGTAAAGTATGACTGGGTTTTTAAAAAAAAATCTCAGTGGTAGCACGGAGTCTGGAATTGTGCCCGGTATATGGCAATAGGCTCACCCCCCATTACGTGGGACTCATAACATAAATAGTGAAAAGTGGGTGTTACTTCTGTGTGCACCTCTGCCTACCCCTTCGGGGATAATAGGCGTGATGTTATGTTGAATTAAAGTTGTGTTTGACAAGGATTACGATTCAATTAATTCGTGTGTCAGTTATTTAGATAATTTTGTAGGTACCACTAATTTATTCACCACTTGTGAATAAATTAGTGGCGATTTATTTCATCTACGTGTGGTTTGAGAAATCTTTTTAGAGTTTTTTTGCAACGCTTTTACTTAACATAACATCACGCCTTTTATCACAGAGGTGCATATTACAGCACTTAATGCTACTGTATAATGTAACACCCACTTTACACTATGCATGTTATTAGTCCCATGTAATAGGGGGTGAGCCTATTGTAATATACCGGGTACATTTCCAGACTCCGTGCTACTATTGAGTTTTTTTTAAAACCAAGTAAACTTGCTTGTCCTGGTAATCGAACCCAAGACCCCTTGCCCGTTAGTCGCACTTGCGACCCGGCCAACGAGGCACTTTTTTTTCTGCTACATTTTTTGAGTCGGTGTAATAATTTTAGAATATTAATAATTTCCTTGTTTTTACTTAAACTTAACTTCCTTTTTTACTGAAACATGTTATAATCATTTCTCAAGATATAGATTAGACCTCTTTCTCAACAGGTAGCAACAAGACGATTAGTTTGTAAAAAAAACAATTGCCATTTATGTTGAAATATTTAAATGAACGTTGGTAAGTCATTATTTACGATTAAGAGATTTTTAAGATAAACAAATATCAAGATAAGTATTATAATCAAATTCTAAGTCATATCTGAAAAGTCATTTTGTCTAGACTTTATCTATTAAGATGTTAACTAATATTTAACCATATTTCCTAGTGTTTGTTGAAATGCAATAATACCACATGTTAGTGCAACAGATTGCCTCGTTGGCCGAGTGGTCGCAAGTGCGACTGGGGTCTCGGGTTCGATTCCCGGGTCTAGTCGGGTTAAGTATCTCAGTAGTAGCACGGAGTCTGGACATGTGCCCGGGATATGGCAATAGGCTCACCCCCTATTACATGGGACTCATAACATAAATAGTGAACAAGTGGATCCCGTTACCGCTCTTGTGATTGATTAATTATCATAATTAAACAGGATATTTACAAATGTTACAATGGATATAAGATCCATTTTAATGTACATCTTACCTAATGTATTGTAAAAGATCCCAGCTAGATTTTAGAGATTAGCATACCTACCTTCCTACCTCAGAAGGAGGTCCTCACTTAGAAACTAAGCTATGATATTTTTTTTTGTAATTTATTGGTCGTTAAAATTGAAATGCAAATGTAAAAAAAAATGTATAAATATGAGATAACTTTAGGATTAATGAAGACGATCAGTATTCATTTATTTACATGTTTATGTTTATTCTAATAGTTTTTTGTTGTAGGTTATATGTATTATTACCTTAAAATGAATGCTACGGATATTTAAATTAAATAAAAAAACTAGTTAATCAAGAAATCTTTCCGATAATTCTGTTTGTTCACAATTTTTCGCTTGATTATAACTTGAGAACCTGTGTAGGTCGCCGAAAAAATTGATAAACGTTGTTTTATTCAGTCTTGCTCCTAAATTAATGACCTACCTAGTGATTTTATATTGTTGTCCATAAGCGATGCTAATCACTTAGTCACCCGTTTGCTTTTTTTGCCGCCCTATTTTTATAACTTGGGTAGCTAAGGGTGCGTCTACACCCGACGAATGCTCCGCGAATGCTCTGCTCGCGAGCCTACCGCGAACTGCGCGCGTGCATTTAATATTATATTTGTATGAACCTTCCTTGTATGAGTTGAGCACCAAACCATTTGCAGCAAGCTACGCTTGTGCTTTCGCAGCACACTCGCCAGATGTGGACGCACTGCCGCCCGACCAGAACCAGACCCGAGGGTACAGCGCGTCGCGCTCATGCCTCTAAGGGCCATTAGACCACCACGGATGGGGCCCAATAGGGCTGATGCCGATACGGAGCCGCGAAGGACTTAACGGGTTGTCGGGGCTCTGACTCGAAGTACAAGAGTAGGAACGGGGTGGTTTTTAGTCAGTAAGAATCTGACACTCCCTCCCGCCTCACCCAGACGGGAGCAGCCATTCGATGATTTTTCCCCCCTTAAAAAAAATAATAAAAAAATAGGGCTGATGCCGATACGGAGCCGCGAAGGACTTAACGGGTTGTCGGGGCTCCGGCTCGAAGGGTAGGAGTAGGAACGGGGTGGTTTTTAGTCAGTAACAATCTGACAGTCCCTCTCACCTCACCCGGGCGAGAGAAGGCATTGAATGATTTTCCCCCTTCAAAAAAAAAGACGAGCAGACGCACCCACTAAACAATTGACATTTTGATTTGACAGTAACATCATAGTACTAGTCTTCAACACATACATATATAAAATAGTTCATAGTAGCGGCAATACGGAAAAGTTTATCCTACATCTCAAATTAAGATTACAGTTTTTATACCCAGTCTACACTAAGTTTTATTTAATAATACATAGTCTAATGGCTTCATTAATCGATGAATTCATCGATATATAATATTTATTGGGTTCATTGAAAAAATCTTTATCTAAAGTGGCGACAGATAAGAAACTATGCCAAATTACATACAGGTGTATAAAGGAATAAGTAGTAATTAATCATTAAAAAAGAATTAGCATTAAACAATCTGACTGCCTCATTGACCGAGTGTTCACAAGTGCGACTGCCGGGCAAGGGGTCTCGGCTTTGATATATACTGGTAGCACGGAGTCTGGAAATGTGCCCGGTATATGGCAATAGGCTCACCCTCTATTACATGGAACTCATAACATAAAATAGTGAAAAGTGGGTGTTACATTGTACAGTGGCATTAAGTGCTGTAATGCGCACGTCTGCTTTCCCCTTCGGGAATAAAAGGCGTGATGTTATGTTATGTTTTGTTATTAAACAATCGTATTATTATGACCATGTACTGTACGATAGATTAGCATTAGTGACATAGACACCGGTACTTTTAACGTAGGTTAAGGTACTTTTACACAAGCTAAGTTCAAGCACAAAAGCATGCTTCAATCGAACACTTGTCACTTAGTAGCATGTATGTCAGAATGTTGCTCTAAATCAAAATTAGCATGCCCATTGCTTTTTTGTGGGATAAACCGGTAAACGAGCAGACGGATCACCTGATGGTAAGCAACCGTCGCCCTTGGACACTTGGAACATGAGACATTATTATACGACAAAATAAAAAAGCGTATTTAATATTTTTATTACCTATCTTTCGGACTAATTCGATTTTTAATTTTCATACTCTGTCATCATCCCTATTGTCCCCCTTGGTTTGATAACCTTTTTATTTTCATTTTAGATGCATGAGACATTAAAATGTGTCTAAAATCTTACAGTATTTTCTAATCTTCCTCCTCTCCTTGTTCCAGCAACTGGCGCTGACTCCAAACTCCAGGTCGTTCAGGACTTGGGTGGCACCGTCAGTACCACTATACTTCGATATTTACTTCTTCAACTGGACCAATTCTGAGAAGTTTCCAGAAGAGAAACCGAATTTAGTGCAGCTAGGTAAGTTGAACTGAAATTGATAAAAAATTAATATACCTACTGTAAGTTTTCGAGTGCGCTCGACTAGATTCGAGCAACAAATGGGGCTTATAAATACACGTAGCGTTACGTGCGTCAGTCATCGCAAATACTACTACTCTTTCTTACCATCAACCATGTTTGTTTGATTATTTAATTGATTTAATTTACAAAAAAAAGTATTACTATGTATGACAAAATTTTTCGACTGAATCTACTGACTTTTACATAATAATATGATTCGGCTGAATTTTGCGGCTGAAGGATTATTTTATACGCTTTGCAAACGATTAATAAAATAATAATATCATACATATACGAAATTATACGTTAATGTCATCCCATATGGGGATAATTCCTTTATTTATTACTAAATAGAGTGAACCTAACATTTGTCTCGTCTTCTGAATTTATTTTGTATGAAACCTGTATCGAATTGGGAATCCTGACATAAAGATATCCATAATTGTTTTTATTATCTTTCTATATGTTTATTATATGTTAAATATGGCTTCGTGCCTGCTCGATATATATTTGTATATAATTTAAGTCTATATTTATTTATTCGCCAATATAAGCTGCATAAAATAACAATCGATGATAACTCTAATACAACAATTTATATGAATTTATTTATTTATGCGTCTCGCGAAATAAATAATTTCATAAATTGTATTATAATTTCAACCGGTAGGCGATAAGTTTGAAACTGAAATTAAATATTTATTGTTACAAAATACCTATGGTTCTCATATTAAGATTATTATCTTTGATTTTCGATATTAAATAAATAAAATTATTTAAATTATTATCGACTTTTATTTATTTATTAATTGGAGTGCAGGAAAAAATCGGTGTTATTAATTTTTTTTTAGTTGTTGAAAATAATTATACGATTAAAAAAACTATTGATGTTTTTAGCTAGCTGTGCTGTGCTAAATTATACACTTCTTTACGTACAATGTATTTATAATGAAGCATTTATTTTAAAGTCGATCTATATATATAATCTATATCTATCTCTATATCGATATAATCTGAGGGCACGTGAATGCTCTCACCAAGTCGAGGGCACAGCAAACACTGTCGTAGGTACCATCCATTACTGGAACGATTTCGCCGCATTTTAGGCCGCTATTTGAGAACCTCTGGATGAGATCAGAATACATTTTTTTGCCATCTAAACATTTTCAGTCTTCTAGCGTTTAAGAGGAAATAATTTAAATAAAATATGAAATTAAGGATTTTATTACGAACTACCTATTACGAACCTATTGCAAACGCATTTTAATGACATTTTGATATCTGAACTGTCTCTAAGTCACCTATAAAATACTTTCAGGTCCCTACCGGTTTCTGGAGAAGAGGAAACACGTGAACGTGACGTGGCATGACAACAACGGTACGGTGGCGTACCGGACACAGAGGAGCTGGTACTTTGACGAGTCCTCCTCCAATGGCACTCTTCAGGACAACATCACCACACTCAATGGTATCGCTGCTGTAAGTATAACATAACATGACATCCCGCCTTTTATACCCCAAGGGATTTTTTTTAGGGGGGATAATCATTATATAACTGGTCCCGCCTAGGTGAGGCGGGAGGGAATGTCAGACTATTACTGACTAAAAATCACCCCGTTCCTTCTCCTGCTCGTCGAGCCGGAGCCCCGGTTACCCGAAGGGATAGGCAGTGCACATTACGGCACTTAATGCCACTGTATAATGTAACATCCACTTTTCACTATTTGTGTTAAAAGTCCCATGTAATAGGGGGTGAGCCTATTGCCATATACCGGGCACAGTTCAAGGCTCCGTGCTACTACTGAGATGTTTTTGAAAACCCAGTAGTACTTTTTCCGATCCAGGAATCGAACCCGAGACCCCTTTCCCAGCAGTCGCACTTGCGCCACTTGGCTAATACCTTTTATACTCCGAATATCCCGTTCGATATTAAAACTTTTTAATCATTCTATGATATCTCTCTAACTAACTCATGAAAAACTGTATGAAATGATTTTTTAATATAAAACGTTGTACTAACATGAAGCTACGAAAATAAAAACCAATTAAAAATGACATTACATATGTACAGACACAAAAACAACAAAACTAAATGAAATTATTCCTTAAATTCCAGTCAGCAGTTTACCGGTCCAGATTCTGGGGTTTCCTCCAACAGAAGGGTCTGGCAATGGGCCTGGCGATGTTCAACCAGAAGATAGCTGTCTCCAAGCTGGCCAGAGAGCTGCTGTTCGAAGGTTATGATGACCAGCTCCTGAATCTCGCCAAAAGTCTACCTTCGAGTACCACTGGAGGAGCCCCGCCCGTGGACAAGTTTGGATGGTTTTATGAGGTGAGAGATTTATTTTTTAGTCTTTAATGTCTAGGTAAGTTAGGTTACTGTAGCTGTACTTATAATGGGTTTATAGATACAAATTAAATGAACATTAAGAGCGACAAATTATTGCTTCTTTTATGGCATAAACCGGTAAACGAGCAGACGGATCACCTGATGGTAAGCAATCGGCGTCGCCCATGGACATCTGGAACACCAGAAGCGTTACAAGTGCGTTACCGGCATTTTGCGGATTAGGAGTTTGAGGATAAGGGGGGGGGGGGAATTGGGCCTCCAGTAACCCTACTCATACGACAAAACACAACGCAAGTTTATGTTGCGTTGTGTTTCGTCGTGTAACACCATTGTAGATGGATGAAGTTAAGTTGCATCAAATTAATAGCATTGCTCTGATATTTAGGTTATCGTATTTTATAAATGGACTAATACACTAAAAAATTAAAAACAAAACGCATAATCAATAATAATTAGTAATACTATCGTGAACCATATCCAAAATTTATCCTAAAACCATAAAAAAATCCAGTTGTATTTTATTTGACACATATAACTAACGAACCAAGCGTCTTCTGTAATTCCAGAGGAACAACTCCTTGGATACCGACGGCTACATGGAAGTCACGACAGGGAGGGCAGCGGGTACTATCCCCGGGCAAATCATGAGGTGGAACTATGAAGACCACATCCCGTATTACGAAGGAGAGTGTGCTCAAGTAAGTAATCATATTGATGTTATTTGAGAAAGCCTCATTAGTCAGTGGTCGCCAGTGTGACTGCCACACAAGGGATCTCGGGTTCGATCCCGGGTTGGTCAAAGTATTACTGGGTTTTAAAAAAATCTCAATAGTAGCACGGAGTTTGGAATTGTGCCCGGTGTATGGCTATAGGCTCACCCTCTGTTACATGGGACTCAAAACATAAATAGTGAAAAGTGGGTGTTACATTGTACAGTAGCATTAAGTGCCGTAATGTGCGCCTCTGTCTCCCCCTTCGAGAATAAGAGGCGTGATGTTATGTTATTTGAAAATATCTGAGAACCGGTGCAGCTAGTTTTAATACTTAAAACGTTTTTAAATATCATGGTGAGATCTTGTAGCCCTTCAGTTTTTCACTATAAATTTACAAGCTTTCCATTTGTAAAAACACTGTCCTTAAGGAATAAACCGAATATAGTCACCACTTAAACTTCTACTAACTGGCAGATTTATAATTTTTTTGTATGAAGTTATGACTTTAAAATCTGCTTAACTGCTCATCACACCTCGTAGCAATAGAAAATTGATTCAAAAAACTCACAATTTGACTTAAATGTTCCAGCTGGCTGGTAGTGCTGGAGAGTTCATGCCTCGCAACCTGACGGAAGAATCCCTGCTGCCGATGTTCGTGCCAGATCTCTGCCGGACCGTGTACATGGAGTATGTAGACACTGGCGAACAGGACGGCTTGACCTTTAACAAGTATGCGTTAACGCAAAGGAGTTTTGATAACTGTAAGTATTTTTCTAAACCTGTAGGGTTGACTGGTTATGAAATGAGAGCCCCGATGTTCTTGATGATTTTTTATTTATTGGCAACTTGACTTTTACATAAATTTACTATAAACTAATCAAGATAATTGCAACCCTAAGTGGAGGGATGAAAGGGACGTAGCTATCGTCTTTCAGACCTCCCCTAGCTGGCTAATTCCAGAAGACCGCTAGGCTATCGGACTGGAGTTAGTCGTACTTAGGTTCAAAGAAGGCTGCGTGGCTTCCGAACTCTGATCCTCTAGCTAGTAGAATGATGATTTATTCGAAGACAACTCTGCTTATAAAGGCGGATGGTTTGCATGTGTGCTCAATTTTCATAATAGTTGTTTGGATATATTATACTAGATGGCGCTGGGTGTTCGTTACAAATCCCCCTTTAAGCTTCACAATCGGAATCCAGTCTAACATGACTATTATGAGCTGTTGATGATGGTGAGCTTTTCTGGATTGGACACTCGTAGTCACTCTAATAACAGAGATAAAACCTGACAGTAATAAATAAAACAAATTACGCGTCTGCACTACCAGATATAAAAAAAACTTTGTAATAGAAAATCTGTGGATTGATTTAGATCTAAGACAGAAATATTGTACCAAAATCTTTGTTACTCATTTCAGCATTTCGTTCGTTTTTTTAAACTGGGGTGCGTTTAAAACATACTAGTTCACATACACATGACACCCAGACCCGGAACAACAATCTGTGGATCACAAAAAGACTTGTTCCGTAAACGAACCCGCGACAAGTTGTTCCGTGCGGGAATCGAACCCGCGACAAGTTGCGCGGCAGTCAGTTGTCCAGCCACTGCGCCAACCGTGCCGTCGTAAATGTTCACATCTTCTTCGTGAGAGAGAGTTGCAGGCAAACTTATTTATTTATTTAAGTAATCTCTCTTTTCAGCGTCAAGCTCTCCATCAAACACATGTTTTTGCAATGGAGAGTGTGCTTGGAGCGGAGTGATGAACGTGTCAGCCTGTAGGTTCGGGTCCCCGGCCTTCATGACCCTCCCTCACTTCTTACACGGGGATCCTCAGCTCAGGGAGCTGGTGACCGGCATGCAGCCAGATCCTGATGCCCATTCCTTTTACTTTGCTGTTGAACCTGTGAGTATGATGCACAGTTTATGTTTTTGACTTACACACGTAACCATTGGACAAGGAACTCCACTAGTATCAAGCCAAACTATACAAGAGATTCATATTCATGAGCAGTATTCCGCGACAAACGACGCGGTGGCAGAAAACATAATAATTAATTCAGTATATTTCATATTATATTATTAGTATTACTTTATTGTATTATTATATTTAGAGGTATAGTTATTTTCATAGTTATTAATATTTTAAGTTTTATTAAGTTTTATATGTTTTCATTTAGTAATAGTTAACATTAATTATTAATTTCACTCAATTTTCACGTATACACATATATTTCATGAAAGTTACTGAACATATAGCTACTTTCTGGTCTACTGTGATAGTAGAAAATCGTTCGTGGTTTACAAATTACAATGTTATTTATGATGTTAATGTTTTGTTTCAGAAACTGGGAGTCCCGTTGGATGTAGCTGCGAGATTCCAGCTCAATTTATATTTAGAACCCAGTGAGAATATCGGGTAAGTTTTCGGAGTAACAAAAACCCTGATTATATAAACCCTAATATTATTCAAATAACTTGTAATAAATATTTTATTTTTTTATGGCATAAGCCGGTAAACGAGCAGATGGATCACCTGATGGTAAGCAATCGGCGTCGCCCATGGACACCTGAAACACCAAAGGCGTTACAAGTGCGTTACCGGCTTTTTGGGGATTAGGAGTTTGAGGATCGTTGGGGATTCAGGGATTGGGGAGATTGGGGAAGGGGAGGGTAATTGGGCCTCCGGTAACCTCACTTACACGACGAAACACAACGCAAGCGTTGCTTCACGTCGGTTTTCTGTGAGGCTGTGGTATCACTCCGGTCGAGCCGGCCCATTCGTGCCGAAGCATGGCTCTCCCACACTTTAAAATATTCTTCTATCTTTTGTCCACAGACTTTATGAAGACGTACCCAGGATGCTATTTCCAATATTCTGGGTAGAACAACGAGTGAAGGTGGAAGACGACGTGATAGCAGAGCTGCGGCTAGTGCGCGCCATCTTTGATTGGGGCGGCACCGTTTGCGCGTGCGCTGCGCTCGTCTTCGCAATCCTCGTCACCATGGCAACGTGTTGGGCTAGAAAACCACACACAATAAAAAAGGAATCTTTATTTGAAAAGCCCAAAGACGAGGCCGAATTAAAGCTCAATCCTATATGAAATACTTTATTAGTTTAAACTCAAATATGGAATGTAGATCTTCTAAAGGTCGAGAACTTCAACGTATCGTTGGAAATGTGGGGACGTGACGTCATCTGACAGATTGTATTGTGACGTCAGAATATAGTGAAATGATATTTTTTTAAATGAAAATGTGTATGGACTCGTATTATGTACATAGAGTAGCATTTAAGTTGAATTGAAAGAGTGTTTGCGTTTGGATGTTGGCGAATTGATTTTTATGCATAAGACTTTTTTTAAGTAATTTGGTACGATTGAGATCTAGCCAATTTATTACCATTGTTCGCAATTAGGTTATAATAATAAAACTCATTATCAATATTATTTTGACTATTCTGTGGCATGTTGTAACTATTAGAATTCCGTCCATGACTAAAAATATGTTTGGTATATCGAATTTCAAAATTTAAATTTAATTTCATTAACATCACGATACGTTTAGTATGATTGAACTGAAAATTAAACGATAATTTATTTATGTCGAATTAAAAAATCATAGTTTTTATTATCTCCTGGTGAAGTATTAATGAAATAGGTATTCGTTTTCATTATTAAAACCAAATAACATTAATAAAATATTTATTTAAAAATGTTAAACATGATTTTCAATCAAAATGTCAGATGAGATGACAGATGTCATAGAAATCGTAATATATGCGTATCAGAATGTACTGTGATATTGTGAAAAAGGGAGTTTAATAAAATGTGTTGATACTTCTTAATGTTGCCATTTTAGATTTAATTCATAGAAAATACAGTTATTATCACAGATATTCCTATCTTCAATTGGGTATTTTCCTGGGTCAAAAAAAATATTTTAATTTTTAAATCCAATAAATATTCAAAAATAATTACAGTTTAATTTATATATTTGACGATATACATTATTTTCGATTTATTCTAGCAACTTTAACAGAAATAAGTGTGCTATTTGACTCGAAAATATGATGACGTCATAAGTTAGTTTTTGGTACAAAATTCATAGAATGTTGGCGCTTTAGTATGGCCATCGACCATAGAGGCGGCGACGCGCGGGACGGGGTATAAAAACCCACGGCCGCGCGAGCGCCGCGCTTCTTCTTCATCGACACACGCCAGCCATAGCATTCGAGCATTTCTTTGTATCGGTGTGAGCCGGTCTTGTTTCTGATATGTAGAAATTAAACCTATTAATTGTGCAGTCTTCTGTTTTAATTTGAAATAACCCGACAGAGCTACGACATAGAACAATATCGTTTTTGACGTTTCGATAAAAGTATTGAATTTGATTAGTTGTAGAATATCGTATTACACATATTAAAAATATTGCTATAGGTACCAGCGCTGACCTGGCAAACTTCGTACCACTAAAATTATTTTCTCACCTTCTAGACTTTCCCTGGATTTTAACATAGGTACATTTCAAGACCAAAATTAATCAAATCGGTTCAAGCATTCTCGAGCGAGACTAACGAACGGAAATTCATTCTTATTTATATAGATTGCAGACTATGAATTTTTAGACATTTTTTTTACTAGTACCTAGTGCCAAAAATAATGACAGCGCCACTCTTAAAAATGATTTTGTATTTTGTTTTTATTTTTTAAGTATTACGACATTATTTGTGATAATAATTGTATTTGATTAAGTTTAAATAAATAAATTTTATATTTGTATGTATTAACAGATACAGACCAAAGAAATTTTGTTTGTTTTTTTTAGTAAGTAGAAAACATTATCGATAATATTAATAATTACAATTATTTTCTTCATTTATCATTCCAATTATATTATATTTTATAAAGTAAAGCTCATCAATTTTGTGATAAATAAAGATATTATTACTTATATGACAATACATTAACAATAACAGAAACATTAATAGTTTTATTCTTATTTCTTTATGACTAAAATATAATTACAAAGTATAAATAATTATTATCGTTTATTTCAAAAACTTGATAATAAATCTGGAATGCACTAAAAACTTTTCTGTTGCATGTAAATCAACATAGTTGTTTTTTTTAATCTACATTTTTTCTACACATATTTTTTATGGCATAAGCCGGTAAACGAGCTGACGGATCACCTGATGGTAAGTCGGCGTCGCCCATGGACATGGACCGACTATTAGTGCCAAAAATATTAATATTATTAGTGCCAGCTGTCCACCTGGATCACCAGGGTGTTACAAGTGCGTTACCGGCTTTTAGGGGATTAGGAGTTTGAGGATCGTTGGGTATTCAGATTGGGGAAGGGGAGAGTAATTGGGCCTCCGGACAACACATAGACAAGGACGTTGAAAACAGCTGGACATAGTCTTTTAAAACAACGACTGCGGGACCTGGCTAGTATAGACTTACACGCAGAACACACACACATTGACACGAAGGACATCTGTTGCGTGACATGAGTAGTCATTACACTTCATACATTAGAAAGAAAGAAAAACATTTATTTGGCAATATTGTGTCTCATATAAGGGGATATAATCTCAGATAAGGGGTTAAACCTCCGGGCCACCGCGACCTTACACGACATAAAAAAAACTGTCATAAAAATGTGTTCTAAAAAAATTCCTAAAAATTCTCCACTTATCTTTTTAAATATCGAGAAATAAGTTTTAATTTGATTCCGGAATAAAATAATATTATTTTATTTTGTCTAGTATGATTGTTTCTCTGTGATTATAGTAAACATATTAAAAAATATATCTTAATGAAAACGTTGTTCGATATATGAAAATGTCGTTCGTAATTACCTAATTTAATATAATTAGTTTTATTTTTTACGTATAGATAAGTATTTTTTGTACAAAAAACGACAATTTAAAATAAAAAATATTGAAGTATATTTTGTGTTTTTTAATTACCTTTTTTTGAGGGGGGAAAATCATCGAATGGTTTCTCTCGCCCGGGTAAAGCGAAAGGGAGTGTCAAACTCTTACTGACTGAAAACCACCCCGTTCCTACTCCTGCACTTCGTTAAGTTCTCCGCGGCTCCGTAACTTACCTACGTTATTTTACTCTTTCTAATAAATATTATAGTATTTTATTTATCACATACCCACAACGTCATGATGGTTAAACCCTGAAAGAACAGGCAAAGGTGAACATAGGCTTAGTTCGCCTGTTCGCGTCCATTTTCCACATCGCCATGAAAGTATACTAAATACTACAGTGGTAGTTTCCTCATTTTCGGAAATTTTTGCGTGTTGCGCGCGTGTATTTAACTTTAGAGGTATTATTCATCCGAGCCTTGCATGATTTGATCACCAAACCATTTGCCGTGACTGCACGCGAGCAACTCGCGAGCATCACATTCGCGGAGCATTCGCTAAATGTAGACGCACTTTAACGTGAAACTGTGAAAGTGATCAGAAACTTACCCTGATTCACTTTACACTAGTTTTGTTATGAGTCCCATTATAATAGAGTGAACATAATTGTTCCTGACGTCACATAGGGCTTACCACCATATGTGGCCCGCGACTGCTGCGATCGGCGGTAATTTATTTACTCGCTCGCCCGACACGACGCCGTGCGCACATATCGGTTGACCCTTACAATCAGTACCTATTTAAATACAGTCTTTTCTCGTCATACCGAAGTCTTTTATTATTCAAGACCACCAGCAATACACCTGGAGCTTGATATTCAAACAATAATTGTAAAGTTGCAACCAAAACAAAATCCTCAAAATCCTTATCCTTACTTCCTTACTTATATTATAAATCGGAAAGTGAGTTTGTTTGTTTGTTCCACTTTCACGCCGTAGCTACTAAACCGATTGCTTTGAATTTTTGCAGACGTGAAGTTAGGAGTATCCAGACTTCTGGATTAAATAATAGGGTACTTTTTATCCCGGAAAAATTTGATATTCTCGAGGGAAACCGAAATTATTGGTATAGAAGGCGCTGTGTGTATTGGTATATGTCACATAGGCTACTTTTTATCCTTTTGTGACGCGAGCGAAGCCGCGGGTAAAAGCTAGTAAGAAATAATTCCTATAATTATCAAATATTTATCTAGTACTAGCAAACCCGGCGAACTCCGTTCCGCCACCAGATTGCTTCGTTTTATGTAACATTCTATTGCTATAAACCTCACGGAGCCCGAGACCTTTCCAACGAATGCAAAACCATGGGAATCGGTTCGCGCGTTCTGGAGTTATAGCGTCAGGAAGGAAAACCCGACTTATTTTTATATAGTAGACTAATTTATTAGATTACAAAACAGTACTGTTAGACGTAATATTTTTAAGCTAGATGAGGTTGGCATTATTTATTCTAAATTATCAGATAAGGCTGACACAATCTTGTAATTATTATTGTCGCTACCTCCTCGGTCATTTGTTACGTAAGTCGTAGAAAATAATATTTTTATTTTATTTAAAAAACGTTGCCCCACAATGGGATTTTCTCCTGTGTCGTGGGTGCGTTTACAAACATACAAGTTCACATACACATGACACCCAGACCCGAAACAACAATTTGTTGATCACACAAATTGGTTGCGCGGTTGCCGATTACCCTGGTTTAGATTTTTCAGTACATACATACCTACATAACCTTACGTCTGTCTCCCATGGGGATAGGCAGAGACTATGGAGCGCCAATTGCTACGATTCCTACATACCTCTTTCGCTTCATCAACAGTCATCAATCTTTTCATGCATACTCGTCGGTTAAGGGTACTTTTAATTTGACCCTTCTTTAATATATCACCAATCTGGTCAGTATATGTCCGTCTAGGTCGTTTTCTACCGACGAAATCTGCTTTATCCATTCTTTCTACATGTCCAAACCATCGCAACATTCCCTCTTCAATACTTGTAATAACTTAAGTACTTGTTTGCCAATTTATAGATATCTCTCATCCTAACTGACTAAGGCCTAATGTAATGGTTGACCTCTAATCCTAACTGGCTAAGGTTTAACATTTGACCTACGTTAAAACCATGACATTACGTCTTTTATCTCCGGAGGGGTAGGCAGAGA